GTTATATACATGTATATATATATATATATATATATATATATATATATATATATATATATATATACACCCACCGCGACATGCGTGTTAGATTTCAAGTGAAACCACCGTCAGTTACGATTGTAACCGACAAGTCGTGCAACTTCCGAAAAAGACGAAATAACTTTACACGTAATCATGCAGTGGACAGAGGTCGGCATTTTAGGTCGCCCTCATTCACCCTCACCCTCACAGCCACACACACCTAAGCCCCTCACTCACCCTCGCCCTCACAGCTACACTCACCTTCAGCCCCTCACTCACCGTCACCCTCACAGTCACACTCACCTTCAGCCCTTCACTCACCCTCACTGAACCTCACGGCCCTCACGTACTCACCGCCCTCACACCCCTCACGTCTCTCACCGCCCTCACGGCCCTCACGCCCCTCACTCACTCATGGCCCTCACGCCACTCACCGCCCTCACGCCACTCACCGCCCTCACCGCCCTCACGGCCCTCACCGCCCTCACCGCCCTTACGGCCCCCACTGCCCTCACGGCCCTCACGCCACTCACCGCCCTCGCCGTCCTCACCGCCCTCACGGCTCTCACGCCACTCACCGCCCTCACGCTACTCACCGCCCTCACGCCACTCACCGCCCTTGCGGCCCTCACACCCCTCACGCCCCTCACGCACTCATGGCCCTCACGCCACTCAGGCCAGCTTCAGATGGGGCAATTTCGCCCAGAAATTTTACGTCGCAACACCAGCAACACGGGCCGCCCGCGATCACACGCACCAACCAATGCTGCAATTTGCCATCGTCATCATAAAATTTTATTTTTCTTCACTATTTAGACACAATTACGCGTAATAAACGTGTTTTTATGCATTTAAATCTCCTTAAGAATACTAATGCACCTTTCTGAAACAGTTTATTTCCAAAAAACGATCGATTTCAAACCAGAACCAAGTCTTTCGGTGTCATCATCACCGGCACGAGGTATCACGTGAAAATTTTGCGTCCCTGATTGGATGCAGCCGCTTCAAACATATTCGAAATGCTCCGAGTTGATTGCTTATTTCGAGCCGGACCCGTTCTCAGCAATTCGTGTCGATCTAGGGAAAGCTAGAGAACAACCCGCCATTAACACCAAAATTGCTGAGAGAGATACTCGATCTGAAGGGGGCCTCACGCACTCACCGCCCTCACGCACTCATGGCCCTCACACCACCTCATGCACTCACCGCCCTCACGGCCCTGACGCCTCTCATGCCACTCACTGCCCTCACGCACTCATGGCCCTCACACCCCTCACGCACTCACTGCCCTCACACCACTCACGCACTCATGGCCCTCACGCCACTCACCGCCCTCACGCCCCTCACGCACTCATGGCCCTCATACCCCTTACCGCCCACACCGCCCTCATGGCCCTCACGGCCCTCACGGCCCTCACCGCCCTCCCGGCCCTCACCGCCCTCACAGCCCTCACGGCCCTCACCGCCCTCACAGCCCTCACGGCCCTCACTCACCCTCACACTCATGAGTTTTCCTGGTTCAGAAACTCACTCACCCTCACCTTACCTGTGAAGATGAGGGTGAGTGAGGGCCCTCATGGGTGAGGTTTGCCGAGGTATGGCAGTGGACACGCACAAGAAGGAAGAGCGAGAGTAGATGTGACAGTGTTGGGCGAAACCAGAAACAAAATGTATATAGTAAACACGAGAGATGGCAGTTGATTGACGAGGCAATGAGGCACGATATATTTTGTAAATAACACTTTATTATATTGCCTTTAATAATAAGAACACATGTTCCGTGTTTTTGTTAACAGGCGAACTCGATCGCGTGACTGTTGTCGTTATATAATATTTAATATGAAGAGCGATAGAGTAAGTAGTACCACAGCGGTATACTATAATTCGTCTATTTACAGACACGCAGGTATATAAGCCTGCTTTCAGTAGTTTTGTACAAGTCACCGTAGTGCTTTGGAACTGTTGGAGAGGCGGCGGTTGAACACACTTCAAACGTATCACCATCAGGGAAGAATTCTAAAGCAGGGAGCAAGATACGGAACTCGGGCGGATTCGCGATGAATATCACCGTTTCCAAAAGATAGAAGACGTCAAGGCCGCCGCCATTTTGGAGATGGGGGGGGGGGGGGGGGCTGTGGCCCTGCCATCCGAAACAAGCATCACACGAATCGCAGCGCGCTCCTAAACATTGATTGTAATGACATCATTGGTATGCAAGTATCGTGTTTGGCCCCTATAAAAAAAAGGAAAGGCGTAAATTGATACAGGCTTATTATTAGAGACGCAATACACGTACAAGATCGGAACGTAATGGCGGATCTGCTTTATTGGTTACACCAGCCTACAGCTACTGATATATGTATTTACAAGAACGATTGTTCGTGCGGTCTCCAATGAAGCTACTGCGGCATTCAGCGGATTTATTTCTGTGTAAGAGTGAAGATGTACAGGGTGTCACAAAAGAAAATTTACACGGTCTTTTTTGCCGCAAAAATAAACTAGACATCGCCGAACGCTCATTCTCCGCCCAAGGGTAGTGCTAGAGGTCACAACCAGATGCCAAAGTTTCAGCCTCATCCGATAAGTTAATCAAAAGTTATTAGTGATTTCCTGAAAATCTCAATGGGAAAATGGAGCCCATTTTCGCCCGTTTTCGGTTTCTGGTGCCATAGAGCCCCATGTGTTTGAAAACTCCGCCGGCCGCCATTTTCCCATTGAAATTTTCAGAAAATCACTTATAACTTTTGATTAAGTTATCGGATCGGGCTGAAACTTTGGCATCTGGTTGTGACCTCTACCATTACCTTTGGGCGGAGAATGAGCGTTCGGCGATGCCTAGTTTATTTTTGCGGTAAAAAAGACCGTGTAAATTTTCTTTTGTGACACCCTGTATATTGTGACGTCATTTGTTGGAAAATATTAATATCCACGTTCATATTGTGAGTATCGTGCACATGTTCAAATTGTATAAATATCAGGTTAAGATACCGCGCTTAACTTCATATTATCACACTTGAAAAGTCGGTCGTATTAACGTGACATGATGACACTCAGACTTCACCTTTCACCCCAATGTCACGTGACGCCATGGTGTAACGCCGTGTCACGTGGTAAGATAATTGCACTGCACGCGGCACGTTTCACGGACGCCGTGTGCACTAACATTTTATAGTTGTCACAGAGTTTTGACCCTATGTAAACCACAAACAATGCTTTATTGTTCAGAGAGCAGCTGCAACTTTGGTAACACGCTAAAACCAGGAAAAAACAAATCTTAAGAATTCGTGAAATTTTTGTTTACAGTTCTTTGCGGTGCCTCAAAATGAGAGAAACCGAGATCAATGGTTATGGCTTGGTGGACCTGTACATACCGCCGACAAAGATAAATAAGTCTGATCATAATCTTTAAAAAATGGCGCTATCTTAATTCGTGATTCCGCGGCAGAACGGTATGCCTGCTCGACCCTTGTTGCTGCGTTTCAGCACGGCGTCAGCTTTTTTCGTGAGTGGCACCAACAGTTTCCTGGGTGCTGCGAAAGCCAAGTAGATCTATCGAATGGCTCATTCCAATAATAGTCTTTTGCGCGCTGCCATCTTTGTCTGCTGGGCTGTGGAACCCGTTCCGAGCATTCGCAGTATAGCTCTCTTTTACAAAACATGTGTTCACAGTCCAGTGAGTCATCATTTCTCGACTGGGAGACGTAACCGCTTAAAAAAGTTCGCTTTCTCTTTGGACCACCGCCCCTGACCGATAGAAGAGAAGGACATTACCACCGCCAACCGCAAAGACAAACTTGGAATATGCGTCTCGAAACTTTTTTCAGCGTTACGAAAACCGAACTGATCACGCTCAATTTTGTATTTCGATCATTGTGTACACTTAACCGTGTTTTTACACTGCAGTGGCTTGTCCCTCAGCTAATATCTTTAGAGCAAAGCGCAAAGCAAGGTGTTCTCAGCATCTTTAACGGTAGACCATTCACTGCAACATTGGGGTAAAACGGTAAGCACGTATACACCCACCTAGACCCATGGCTAGAAAAAAAAACGTAAAAAATCGCAGTTTATATAGCCAAGTACTGAATTTGCACAAATATAGGCTGTTTATTAGCAAATCTGGGCGTTGGCACGCATGCGTGATTATTTTTTCTTTTTAAAGCCGCTACTGGCCGACTTTACCCCTCCCCCTTTCCCTTTTTAAGCCCTTTTACATGCACATGTGACCCCTGTACCTCTCTAAACATGTTACATGTTCAGCGGAACATCAAGGACAGGTCGAATTGGCGGGGAAAAACACGCCTGCCCCCTTGGCTCAGTAAGCGCTGTATTTCATGCACAAGACAAAATATTAGGTTGCTTTTGATTGGCTCTCTCAGAAGTCAAAAACGTACCCTCCGGGTCCGCCAAGTGTATTTTCGACAGACCTGTAAGCTGATTCATGTTTACGGGATTTAGCTTTTCAAATTGGTGCATGCTCGCACTTCAACGCCATGATGTAATAGTAAGAACACCTCCTGCCACACAACGTTTCTGACGGCGGTATTGACACTGATCACAGGGTAGCTCATCTAAATCAAACTGAAAGAGTAAGCATGCAGGTGCGCCGTTAGGAGAACATTTTTTTATACAAAGCTCCTGGTGAGTATGGGACGTGTAGGGTGGCATGCGGAATAGAACAACAACTGACCGTCTGCTCATTTAGTTCGCAATCCCCGTGGAATGAAACGCGAGGCGCTGTTGACGTAAACAACCTTCTTCAAGGGGGAATGCACTACTTCTTTTTTCAAAAAGCGACCACCGCCGTTTCTATTTTTGTTACAATCGAGAACGACTGCAGTTTGCTTCTGCACGAGTACACACTGGAAAGGTATAAATTGACTTGGACCACGACACCAGAAGCCAAACTGCCGTTCCAGCGCCGAACTGGATGAGAGATGATCCTCAGACTGGTAGAATATATAAGTGCAGACAACCACGCGTAGACGCTGAACCAGAGGTCGACGACAAAAACAAAAATGCAGCATGTCCTCAAGAGTCCGCCGTCAGGTAACTTTCCCTGGAAGGACTGTGCCGGTAGCCGGCACCCTCGTGAGAGCACCGCACCGGCCCACTGGTACTGGCGACGCTGGCTCCATGATGGTCGCGCGGAATACCATCAAGCATCGCGACGTGGATGTCTCCTGCCTGCAGAGGCACCAACCGCTCGGGGCTGGACCTCCGCGAGTGGAGTTCCGAGGAAGGCGGGGGAAGCTCTGGCACGATGAATTGGACCTCGGTCACGGACGCCGGAGGGTTCTTCTTCTTCTGCGAGGCAAGTCGGAAGCTGCGCCGCAGCGGCGCGCAGTTGGGGTACGCCCGCTGGGACACGTCATCCCCAAAGAGCAGGTCTCCGGCGCGCCGCCGAAGACTCCGGTTCCTCGAAGACCCCAGCTCGCCGTCGTCTTCGTCGTCGTCGTAGGAGCGTCCGGTAATGCGGTCGTAGACGAGGGTGACCAGGATCACGGACAGGATGAGTCCGCCGACAATGGTCAGCATGATGCCGATAGCGGCTAGGGTCTCGGTGGCCACCAGGACAGCGCCGCAGAGGAGGGCGAGGAAGGCGAAGACCAGGTTCAGGATGAGGCCGCAGCAGCGGCGGGTGCACAGGTAGAGGGCTAGGAGTCCCGGGATGACGATGGGGCTCGAGATGAGCAGGTACTCCCAGGAGGCGTGACCTGGAGGCTGGGCCACGGTGAGTGCGATGGCGAAGCAGAGTCCGATGCCCAGGACCGAGAGGAAGGCGAGGACGCCCAGGTAGCGGCACAGGCGGCGGCATTTGGGCGGCTGGTTCTGGGGGTCCACTCCCGCACTCTCGCTGATGGCAATCAGGCCCGGGGCGTAGTTCTCGGCCGCCCACATCGTCACATGTTCGACGGGCGGGACACCGTGGTCGTTCCGAACGACGGGTCTGCGATGCAAGAGACGCGAGGGGCTTAAATGCAAATAAGGAATTAAAAAACAAAAGTTTGATGCGTTTTCGGAATTCAGATAAACGAAGCGTGCGCTCCAACTCTTTCTCAGATTGACTGACTTAGTGATTATATAGTGTGCCTGAAATACTCAGGCTCGTTCTAAAATGGGCCGTAAAAATTGGCGTTTGCACGTAGCAATCTGAACTTTTCATCAAAAGTGTAATTCACTGGTCGGGTTTGTCATGCAAAACTACAAAGGTTAGCTCCCCTTCTGTAAAAAGAGGGCTAAAAACCTTGCCGGGGTCAATGCCGGATGGCGACGCAGACGACAGAGTTGAGTGGCGGGGCGCTTTTGGCGAACGTATTGTTCGATGGAGCTACTTCATTATCGAAACTGCTAGCGACGACCGCGGTCTAATAAAATTAAAATAAACTTTTTTTTATATAATGCACCCTCGGTCTAAATATAAGCAGGGCACTGATAGCATACCTTAAAGTAACAAAACAAATGTGGTCGCCTAACGACGGCACCCACGGCGCTCTTGCTGCCGACGGATTTCGTCTGCGTGTCGTCTGCTTCCTTTCACTGGTCGACTCCTCCGGCGCTGCTTCCGACGCCATGGGCTCTAAGTTCGTCAGACACAAAGTTGGGGCAAAAGTTTACGGAGCGCGCCGATTGGACTATCACGACGATGACTTTGCGCTTTTGTCGCCGGCGTCCAATCAGCGCGCTCCGCGAACTTTCTGCTCCAACTTTGTGTTTGTCGAGCTTAGGGCCCCATGTATCAATGCGCGTGCCAAATGCGCCCCGCCACTGGACTCGGTCTCTGCCTCGCCGTCCGCCGTTGAGCAAGTTTTTGGGCCCTATTTTTTTTTTTACAAAAAGGGAGCTTCGCTTTGTAAATGTACATTAAAAATTGACCTGTGGAATACACCTTCGACGAAAATTTTCAATTGCTACGTGCAGGCGCCAATATTTTCTGTAAATTTTAGATTGAGCCTGGGTATTTTAGACACCCTGTAGATTACGCCCTACAAATTTCTAATTCGACCTATATGTTAATTTTTACTAAGTAATTGCGCATACATACTGAAGCATTTCGTTTTTTTTTGAAGAAACACTGCAATAAAAAAAATAGTTTTTTTTTCTAAAAAAAAACATAAATGGTACACGTATTAAAAAATGTACCATGGAAATTATTTTTAGCAATATGTATGTTGTTAGACGAAATTTTAGTGGAAAAGGTGGAAAGTGCAGACCACTAAGCCCCGCCCCGTGCTTACAAGGTGCTTACATCTCTCATTGGCTGGAGAGATGATTGACGTGTGTAATGTTGGTTGTCAAATCGCATCGCCGTGCCGTAATAGTATTTCAATCGGCAATTTGTTTGTGTTTGAGGAACAAACAATCTAGGTAAAGTCATTCTTGTTTTCAAAATTATCCCAAGATTGCCTTTTTCGTTTTTGTGTGAAGCGAGGATAAACATGGCTACCGGCGTCTGTGGAGTGCGTGCTCAGTGAGCGCACTCCGCAGGCGGCGACAGTCGCAGAAACAAAAACAGGCGCGGTAACAACAAGGAACTGCAAAGCAGACGACATCGGTACCCCGAAAAAAAAAAAAAAAAAAAACAGTCAAGATATTCCGACGAACCATTTTTCTGATCGATTATGTGTCTATTCAATATGGTTTATCAGCAAAGACGATAGAATAATCCATTGGCAGCTGATATCAAAAATGCTCGCGCCGCTTTTGAGTCGAAAAGATCGTCTGCTAGAGACGCCGGCTTTCGTCGCCGTATGCTCGTTCCTTGGCGCAATTGGCATCGCGCCATCTCTTGTCTCCCGTGCGAAACGGCGCCGTATTGTTTGAAGACTTTTGGCTTCGCCGCATCTCTATAGGAGCTAAGCCTTTTTCGTTCTTTACTTTTTCTTCAGGTAAGTTTGCTCTTTGCAAATTTTACAAAAACAAAAATGCACCATCTGTGAGCAACGCTAAACAAACTAGCGCGATAGGTTAAGAAACCGAATTTTGCGGTCGATTTAAACAGCCTGGCCACTCCTTGATACACCCAGTAAATGTTTTTAGACGGGGGTGGAATAGCAGAAGGACTGAGGGGGAAATGGACGCCGACGCGCAGCTTTCATGTCCGTGTCTTACAGGCATTGCAGATGACGTTAGACGGTGGTGAAATAGCAGACGATGCTAGAGGCTGCCGCGCGTCTGCTCGCACGGCTAGCAGGCGGTGTCAGACGCCAGACTAGACGCACCGGATGTCACGAGAGGGAGACAATATAGGCTTGTCAGCGTGTACGGTCAAGCAGCCAAGCCAATCCAGTAGTAATGGGCGGGACCACTGATTTTTGGGTGGGGCTGGGCTGGGACCTCCACATAAAGTGCATCTAACAACGTAACAATTGCGCGAAATTTTTTTTTGTATGGAAATTTAGTTAAAAATACGTATTCCTTAAAAAATACTTTGTTTCATGCAGCGTCCCTTTAAAGGTTACGTTCTACTACCTCAATAAACAGGCGCATTGACGGTGACTAATCCGGTACCGGTCTTATTTTTAAGCGATGTGCACTTTTCGCAGGAAAATATTGGTCGATGGTTCTGCGATACACCCGCCATACATCTAGCCTAAATACTGAAGGCCGGTGCGCACATTTGCGTTTCAGTGCCCACGGTGAAAGAATGACTCCTAAAAAAAAAAATCTGAAAAATATTTACACAGTTTGAATTCGTTTCAGGGTCATTCGATGAACGGCGCTATAGTGCGCAAGTTAGCTATTAAGCGCACTCGATGACACTCAAACGCAAAACAATGCTCTTTGTATAGACCTTTTCTGCAAGTGCGCCGCCATCTTGAATTGACGTCACTTCCAGTATGGGCGAAAACATTGTTTTGCCTTTGCCACGCCAATGGAAGGCATTTAGGATATAAGCGTAACCGCCACACTTTGTCATTTTGACTCCCCTTTATTGTTTTACTATTTGCAGGTTGAAACGTTGGATTATTTTTTCGTCGCCCATACCGGATACGCCTATTAGGTGGCTGGAGACGAGAGTACACAGAAAAGGTCTATATGTCGCAACACAACAGTCCACAACGTTGAGTCATCGCAACGCCGCAGATTCGACCGAACAAAGGCAGCGCGGGCAGCGAATCCCCTAACTCGACACAGAATTGGCCCTTACGCACGCGGCGCGCCCCCCGGGTTATGAGCTGCTTCACTGCAGGGGGAAGGAACACTTTGATTCGGACGCGAACATAAAGGGAGATTATCGGAATCGACCGGCCTCTGGACCCTATACTGCGTTCACCCCAAAAGCTGACAGTGTGGTGGAAGCTACGTGCTCGTTTGACCAGTCAGGCCCCTGTCTTTTGCCACGTGATCACACCCGCACACACGCAGACAAAGCGGGTGTAGGTGGTTAAAGGGAAGCGGAGGACTGGTCCGGCGAGCACGTATAGCTCCCATCACACTATCGGCTTAGAGGTGAACAAAGCATAGCCCGGGGGAAAGCTCGCTTCGCACGCGAAGCAGTCTCTTGCGTATTGGCAAACACGAAACAAAATGCACAAACTAACAAACGGGTATGGCGTGCGTAAGGGTGATGTACTGCCTTTCGCTCTCCGTTTCTTTTTTAGTCTTTTGATTGTTTTTGAGATATTTAAAAAGAAAACACAGTGAAGGCAGCAAGCAGCGTCCAGAAGTTACGTACACGGGACAAAGACCAGGGCAGGTGAATTGGAATTCGGGCTTTTTACATCTTGGGGGAAAAAAAAAAAATGTACAGCTATTGCGAGATGGACGGAGTCAGCGTTCTAGCAATGAGATATTTTGCGTGGACGTGGTTCGTGTATACGGGAGGCGGCAAGCTGCGTGCACGCGCGCCATCGAGGTAAACAAACCAGACCGACGCAGTTTTCTAGTGTTTTCTGCTTGTTTGTTTTAGTATAGCTTCTCCCAGCTTGAACCACTGAACAATGAACAGTCCGAGCGGGCTTTCCGGCCCGCGCCGCATTTACATCGTGAGACGAACCACGCACAAGGCTACGACCGAGCCGTTCGGGCCAATCAGATGGCGGGAGCGAGTCACGTGACCCTGAGGTTCGCGCATCGCTATTGGCCCGATTACCTAGGTGGCAGCACTGTGATTGGGTTGCACGGCTCGCAGCGTTCGTGGCGGTCCATCCTGACGAGTTGTAACGAATCGCCGCGAACGATGAAGGCGGGGGTTTGAAGATAAATCGCAATCCCTTTGCGGTTTCCTCTACCGTTAGATCGTTTTTCAATCTCTGTTGGGAGCCCTTTTTTGGGTTCGTAGCGTTCCCGACGCGACGGACGCGTTGGAAAGCTGCGCGAGCGGGCATTTTTTCCCCGGCGGAAGCTGTCGCTATGGCAACGTCCTTTCACAGTGTTATGGCGCGTTTTCCCTCGCGATGAACCGCAGAACACGCTACGAGTCGTTCCGGCCAACCCGGTACTGTAGACGTACACGCGTTTCGGGCGCCGCGCTGCTCTCCTCCCGAATGTGACCTGACGCTCTCAGAGTATATTCGATTGGTTCCTGTGGCTATATAGCGTTCGCAGCGCTCCATCATCGCGCGGACGAGAACCGTCCCACCATTCAAGCCGACAGAGTGCACGGCATAATCGGTATGCGGGAAACAGCGCCACCTAGAAAAGTACCAATAGATGCCAAACAAGAGTGAGTGATTTTATTACGCCCTGTATAGAGGTATTGTTCTAACGTAAAAATAAACACTCACGTTTATTTTTTCTTTTTTTTAGCCTGTTTAATTTTGAAGAAAATTTCCAAAGAATTGACTGTATTTTGTCGGTGTGGTGCAGCTCCCAGCATATATATGGTACCATAGCGACACATGATGGATGAAGGGTGGTGCTGTCGGCCGCTGAGATAAGCGAGCTATTATCATCCC